CAGCTTTGCACACCTGGCCTATTATCATCAACCTCAGTTTGCAGATGGGCAGATGGAGGCCCAGAGCTATGAAGTCACTTGCCCCCATACATCATTCACAATAGAACTCAGAGGCTGGACTCTTCTGTTCCACCACGAGACACCTCTTCCTCCTACCCAGATAGCAGGCCGAGTCCTCTGTTGTGCTGCACCACGTGTAGTCCCTTACAGTGTATCAGTGCAAAGTGCATCAGTGCAATAAACAGCAGCACTTTACAAGGTGTAAATAGAAAGACACGGAGCAGGGCAGGGGGGTATCAAGCCGAAGCTGTCTAGGTAATTTTGCTGGGATCATTTCCATTCAGGAGCACTCCATGCACTGGAGGCACAGCGCTAAACCAACACCTTGAAGTACGACTCTCTGCAGGATGCCGCCGTACCTCCAGGGAACAGCTAGTGCCCTTTCGTCAATTACCTTTTGTTAACTGAAAAAATCAACGGATTCCCACTGCATTCAGGCGGTGCTGCCTGTGGTGCATGGAGCACCTTCGTCACCAGCGAATGACACGCTCTGACTGCTCTCATGCTGCAGCCTTCAACCGACCACAGCTTCGCTCCATGCCAAAGTGAGAAGGAGGCACCTGGAACTTCTTTCCAAGTTAGGAACAGGTGGGAAGGCAGACTCCCACCTCTGCCTGCCCTGGAGGGGGGAGAAAGTGATTGATTCTTCCCAGCAAATGGGAAGAGGTGGGTGAAGAGATTAAATCATCTCTCCTGTGCTCGCAGAAATGTGCTGCTGACCCCACACTCCGGCGGGGTCAGGAGGAGCTGGCAACCAGGCCCTCGCGGATTCCAGAGTGGGCGGGCAGTTTGCAGTTAATAATTGAAGAGGAACAAGGAAGCCGCCTGTGTCATTGCTGGGCCCCATTCATCCAATGGAGCGGAGGTGGGGGCTGAAAAGCTGAAAAGCCTGGAGCTGGCCTTCTCAATGTCCTCCAAAAGCACGCAGGTGTCCCACCGAGGAATCCAGCCAGACAGCCCAGCTAATAAAAGCTGCATGGGGCAAGTGGGGCTGGGTTTGACCCCAGGTGCAGATATGGCTCCCCAGAGTCTCCAGGCAGGCTCTCCCCACAAGCAGAGCAGTGCTGCTTGTTTCCATGAGGATAGGCAGCCAATGAATCAGCAGCCCAGAATGCCTCGGAGGTGCCAGGAGCAGCATCCTTTACTCCAAGGTGGCATGAGAGCCCCTGGGCTAGATTCTGCCCCCCATCACACTGCTGCAAACCCAGAGCAACTTGGATGACTCACGCCGATTGGACGCTGGCGTAACGAAGAGCAGAATTTGCTCCTTTGCTTTTAAATCTTGCCTTCTCTCTGCCTCTTTTATAACAAACAGCTATTGTAAAGTGCTCTTCCCCGCCCCGCTAGCCCTAGCCCCACCGGGCTTTTCCTCTTCTCCCTTCTCAATAGGAGCCTGATCCTCAAATCCAGGGTACGTCAGGACGTGGCCAGATTCCACCACACCTGGGATCCTGCACTGGCCAGGCAGCCCATATTGTCCTCATTTTACAGACAAGGAAGCACCACAGCCCAGAGAGGGAGGAGGCTGGCTTGGATTCACACAACAAGCCGTGGCAGATGCAGGAGTAGAACGCTGCTCCCCTCGCTCCCAGTCCCATGTGCTGCAGTCAAAAGACCAACCCTCTTCCGAAACATAAAGGGCCTCAATTCCTGGCATTGAAGACACCTCGCTAATGGTGGTTGGAGGGTGTCCCAACTCTGAACTCAGAGGGGTCAAGTTTTTAGTGTGGTCCTAGAATTGGTTTCAGCTCCAAACGTATCCCATTATATATCCTTAGCTACTAGCATCTATTTGTTCAGTGTAATGCTGCTGCTCCATTCCAGCCCTTAAGGAATCGCTGCCTAGGTGGGACCCACGCTGTCAGGGTGACCTGCCCAGCCCCAGGCAACTGCCACCAATGACAGCTTTCCCTGCTTTGCCTTCGGGCAAAACAGCACAAGTGTCCTGTGTCCTGACTGTGTGGATAGCTCCATATGGCCTCACTTGAGCAGTCTGCTGAGTCAGAGAGGCTAGGTCTTTCCTGAAGTTGGCCATATTCACTTAAATCAAGCATCAGAGCTTTTAATGGCAGGTCAGTGCATTAAAAACAAAAAAAAATCAGAATTCCCATGGAATGCTCAGCACAGTCCTTTAAATCCCCCCCGCCCCACGTTCTTGCCTGGATTTGGAAGAGAGGGTGAGATAAGAGTTATCTAAGAAGTGAAATTCATCCAGGTGGGGTCAGAATTCCCAAAGAAACTGTGGGGGGGGGGACACTCCTGCCATCAGAGAATGTTAGAGCATTGTTCTCGCTAGATACACTGCTCCGTGCATTGGCACCCCGCAGCCATGCAGAACTCCCCTCACGCCTTCGCCTGGCACGCGTCGCTTCTTTCCTTTGATGGGCAAATAAAATATTAGGCCAAGATTTTCAAGTGCTTCAGTTTTGGGTTTTTGAGGGGCGGAGGGGAACTTGACACACCCCCAAGGGGCGGTGTTCAGTTCTGAGCACCCGTACTCTGAAAACCAGGCCCCATCAATCACTAGTCACTTTTGAAAATCTTAGTCACTAGTACTTTTATCATCAGCGTGATGGAAAGGGTGGGTGAGGAAATTCTGTGCTGAGGCTGGTAAAATTTCATGGGGCTTTGTAAAGCTAATACACAGAAACTGAGAGGATGTTTGCATTACAGTGAACTTTACTATGCAATGTGAATCTTGCTTGATGTTCTCATCACCAAATGACTCAATGAAGATCTGGCTTCTATTATTTTTGGAAAGGGTGAAGCTTGATCCAGCAATTCTGGGAGTCAGATGCATTCTATCTGCAGTTATCTGATGCTCCTTTAATTGCTAATTAATTACTGCTAGGGCAGGTCAAGACTAAGGAGCACTGGCAGAGCTGGTTGCGTGTGGGCAGGCAGGACTGGAATAACGGGGGCTGTTCCAGATGAGTATTCATACACATTGGCAGAGCTGGGTAGGAGGCATAGGACTAGAATAGCAGTGGGTATTACGGTTCCAAACTGGGGTGCACTGGCAGAGCTGAGTGGGGGATTAGTCGGGGGTGCTGCAGGTCAGGAGTAAGGTGCATCCCATCGGCAGACCTGTCGAGGGATGTTTGCACGGCATTGGCTTGTGCTACGCTTGGCTCTCCCCATCTGCTAGTGCTGTTTGCTGATTTGCAGCATGTGATTTCTGCCCAACTGTATTTTGTTCTCAACAAAACCTTATTAGAATTCTCCATAAGTGCAGCAGCAGGAGGAGGTGAGAGAGAGAATGTGATTGGGTGGTAAAATCAAGGCAAGCTAGGGCATTGAATTGTGCCGGGCTTGACACCATAACTAAATTGTCCTAGGCTCTCTTGCAAGGTTTGTGAAATGGGACATTTCTTGACTGTCCCAGGATATAACCACAGGGATCACATCACACAGGATGCACAAGGGCTTGCATCACAGCTTTCCATTTCAGTTACCCGGGACCTGCCTGCATCCCCTAACCATGCTAAAGTTTTAGACAAGGTTTTTGCAAAGGCCGCGAACACAGTATAGATCCATTCTAGTCTACAAATGAGAACAGCATGGGGGTGGAGGGGCAGCATGCTATAGGCTGGTCCCCGGATGTTCCTGGTGGGGAGTGTAAAGCACATATTGCCTTAGGGAATCAAAGAGTGAGGAAGTGACAGGGAGATCTTCTCTGGATCCATCAGGGGAAGAAAATCAAAGAGTCTTGGGCTGGGAATTGCTCTGGGAAGCTCCAAAGCTTTTTGGTGAATCTGCATCTATTCTTAATTCACCCCTAGTGGGCTGGTGATTAGAACACAGCAGGCCAGATTCCCAGACGGGGTAAATCAGCATGGCCTCATTGTCTTCAATAGGCCAGAACCTCAGATGGTGTAAATTGGCAGGGCTTCATTGACTTAAATGGGAGCATGACAGTTTACACCAGCTGAGGATCTGGCTCCGCAGCTGTAAATTGCACCTGTCAGGTTTTGTAGGCATCTCTGATTCCTCACCTTCGTTCTCGACACTCCAGCCTATGTGCTTTCCAAAGACACTGTGACCTTCCTGCCATCACAGGGATATTAATTAGCCCTTGCCTGAATACCTGTGCACAGGATGGTGTCGGGGCTTTTAGAGAGAGCTTTTGTAGCCTTCCCAGCATCCCGTGGCCCAGATAACAGGTCCAATGTGATCCGTCTGACAGTCCCTGTGTGCTGGCTTCAAGAGCACAGTGACAGCACAGCCTGTGATTCAGGGGAACTCTACAATGCACTGGCTGTGGTGCACAAAGTCACTGACACTTTTAAAATACAAATTAACAAGCAAAATATAGGCCCCGGCACATTCTCTCCCCACCCTTCCCCGCTTGCCCAGGGAAAGGAATGACACCTGTCAGGAGAGGTTTGGAGAAGGTGAAGATGAAGGAAACAAACTCAGTTCAGGAAACTTTCCAGCTAAACTCAAGCGAGGCACTGTCCGGGGGGTGCTCCATGCTGAGAGGCAGCACTGTGAGTGAGGCTGCAGCAGGCTGTATTGTGCTAACATTAAACGCCCAGGGGCAGGTTCCCCAAGGTACCAATGGCACTTACTGACTTTCAGTGGGAGCTGGGCACCTCACTGCCCCTTGTGCCTTTGAAACCCTCCCCCTGGATGGGTAAGTCTGACAGTGGCTGGGGCCCCGCTTCCTGTCTCAAAACTTGCTTCCTTTATGGTCACCCCCACCCCCATCCCCACCTGTTTGGCTCATCCACCTGCTGTCTCTCCTCAGAACCCAGACTGTGAGCTCTGTGGGGCAGGGACTGTCTTTTTATTGACTGTCTGTACAGTGCCTAGCACAGCGGGGGCCTGATCCTTGACTGGTGTCCCTAGGCCCCACGGCAATGAAAATAATTAGGTCCGGTGAGTGACTGCATATTCTGGTGTCCTGTGCGTTAACCGAATCCTTTCTGTCATTGCAGGGCACAGACCTGCGGGCTGGAAAACTGAAAGGCCACGTGCTAACAGGTAAGCTGGGGCTGCACCAACCCGACCCGTCTGACTGTCCCAAGACCTCTGGCCCATGTTACTAAACTTCTATCAGCATGGCGTGCAAAGGGATGGCTTAGGGTCACTGACTTCCACTGCCATTGGGAGAGCTGGGCTCCAGTTCATTTGTGATCTCTTTCTTCCTGGGTCTAAAAGGATGGGGAGGGCAGCAAGCTCAGTGCCTGGGTTTTGCTTAACCAGGGAAGCTTCTGATGGGTCCAAAGGGAATTCTGTGCGACCCTCTCTGGCTGTGAGGGAGGCAGCTGCCACCTATCACCGCAGTATCTGGGTGCCGTACTAAGGCGCTCACCAACAGGAGTAAGAGCATCAGGATCTGGGCCCCAATCAGAGGCCATTAGTCTATCAACACGGATGGTGTCAGATCGCAACTGCAGGTAGCCGTGGCCTTTGCAGATCCCCCGCTTCGGAATTTCGGAATCACATTCCACTTCAAGGGGAAAAGAGGTTTGCAAAGAACATTTAAAATAACCCCCCTGCGCACACATTTTGATTTGCATTCAGTAAACACATGGAAAGATGTAAATAGCAAGGGATTCCCCCGGCTGCAGGCTTTCAGAGCACTGACAGCCTTGGCCTCAGCACCGGAAATGCAGCGAGGAGGAACTGTTTCACATTCTAACCAGACAACAGGTTTCTCTTTGATATCGATCTCTTGTTTAGCTGATACAGGAAAATGAGGAGGTGTTTAAAGCATTGCAAACTTTTTCAACCCCAGAGCAAGCCAGCTGAAGCACCCCCCACTGTCCTCCACCTCCTCCCCCGCCCGGCTTCTTAGATTATTCACTGTAGGTGGAATGTCCCCAAATCTCTCTCTCTTAATTTGTGCCAGAGCTACAAATGGTGCAAACTAACAAGCAGCTGTAATTAGCCCCCTGATTCGTCTCTCCGATGAGACCTTCACTGCCAGCCTCTTGCTTGCACGACACGGAACAGGCTTCCAAGAGAGGTTGTGGAATCCCCGTCATTGGGAGTTTTAAGAACAGATTGGACAAACACCTGTTAGGGATGGTCTAGATTTACTTGGTCCTGCCTCAGCGCAGGGGGCTGGATTTGATGACTTCTCAAGGTCCTTTCTAGCCCGACATTTCTATGATTCTAAGTAGCAGACATCTCTTCCACCTGGCAAGGAGCAGGCTGGATTCTACCAGGGTGGAGGGAGTAGAACACATGGGGCCTGCTTCTCTTTGTACGTTGTGTAGTCATTTACACCAGCGTAGAGTACAGCAAGGGTGTAAGTCACCACCAATCTGACTTAGTAACACTACACCAACGATTGCCTAAGGTGCAGGGCAGCAGAGAATACAAGCCATGGCCTTCCCATGAATGAGATTTCTCTCTGGGTGCTGTCTGAACAAGTAGTCCCTTAAAATCAATTATCCTTAATAGTTTATTTTAAAGCCCCAGTATTTCCCATCCCTGCAACCAATTCCATACCTTGCATTGCTCTTTTGGGAGTTAAGATCATAAGGAAATGACAATCCGCCACACGCAGGCTGGGAGATGCAACGACACTTTATTACACACCTGGACAGCAGCAGAGAAATGTTTAACAGTAAACTGGCTGAAATAGAACTCATCCAGAGGAGCAAATGGTGTTAAAATACCCAGTCAGTGGAAGAAATCCAGTCCACTTAAAGCAAACACAGGAGCTGTTTGGAAGAAGGTGGGCCCCAGTGGTTTCTTTATAGGCAGATGGTATATGGGAACGAGGACTTGCAATGCAAAATGGGCCACATTCAACCCTGGGGTAGCTTGATTAATTCGAATGATGTTACAGCAGGGAGGAATTTGGCCCAATAAGTCTCTGGTTAAAGGGATATTGTCTAGTAGCTATGGGGTAGTTTGAAAAAGAGATTTTCCAAAAGCTGCTGTGGATAGCAGTGTGTTTGATTATTTCTTTAGAAAATACCATTACCGTCTTTTCTTATTTCAACCTTCCACTGAGGTATTGGGAACCCCAACCTGGCAGCTGCTGGCTAGTGCAGCAAGGACCGGAGAGTGAAGGTAACTAGAAAGGCAATGTCCGATTTTCAGCAGCCAACTGCTCCCCTTGTGACACTTCCAGCCAGACTATCCAAAGTGCTCAGCACCCAATGTTCTGAGCTCTTGTGAAAATCTGACCCTGACGGTGGGTGCTGAAAACCCTGACTGTGAAGGGTGCTGCCTTGCAAAGCAGGAGTAAGTCAATACCACTGCACCCCCATAGCCAGAGTTTGCAGGGTCAGGCCCAAAGTTAAACTGATTGGCTTTGTCTCACTTCCTAAGCAGAGCGAAATGCAGAAAGTAACTTAGCAGCATCAACAGTGGTGAGAAATAAAGGAGATCCTTTGTTTTTAATTTTTTCTAATGCTCTGAGGAGGTGGCCATGGTGGCTTTCTCTTGCTCAGATGACTTAATTTGATCAGGTCCTGAAGGAATTTCCACCTTTCGTCCCTTCGCGTTACATCCTCCTTTCCTGAAACAAATATGAAATGCTCCTTTCAGCCAAGTTTAGAGTTTAACAGTTATGGAACATCTGCGTACATAATCACTTTGCATGTCATTAGACTCCCTTTGGTGACACATGCTCTATACCTGCAGGTTTCCTGTAGTACAAAGGCCTGAGCTAGATCATTGGATCCAAACCTCCCTGAACTCTGGGCAAGTTTGGACAGGGCCCCAGATCCAATATTTGTAGCTAAGACTCTTCTCTAGCAAGGAGATGAGATTTTTCCACCCAGGATCAGGTTACAATTATATCACACTTCTTCCTACCAAAACCACAACATGTTGCTTGAAGGTAGAGCTGGTCAGGAATTTTTCCCTGAATCGGTTTTTGGTCAAAAATGCCGATTTGTCAAAATTGAAACTTCATGAACCGGGTTCCGATTGGATGAATCTCCCAACTCGAAAAAAAGTTGAAAAAAGGAATTTTTGGAACTGTTAAAACATCTTGCACTGACATTTTCAAAACAAAAAAAATCAAATTTCTGATTTGAAATGACTTTGTTTCCAAACCAAATCTAATTGAACTAAAAAAAGGGAATCAAAATCAAATCAAAACCAAATGTTTCAAAATTATCAAAACAAAGTTCCCATTGACCCAAACTGGAAAAAAATGTTGGCGCATGAATATTTTTGAGAGTTCATCTTTTTGCCCCGATTTGAGATAGGGAAAAAGTTTTGAACCTGAAATATTTGAGGGATGGGAAAACCGTTTCCCACACAGCTGTACTGGAGGGAACATCAGCGATGACAATAAAAAGCTGGCCAAGTATGTGGTGGTGTACATGGACACAGGGCGATGTTCCTGTCTGAGCCCAACTGAGCAATCAGCTAATGCCCTGATGTATGAGAACAGGGTGTGAGGCTGCTTCTCTGCTGGAAAACTAGAATTCAAGCCATTCAGTCTATGCAGCCCTTCAAAAAAGAACTAGATAAGTTCATGGAGGATAGGTCCATCAATGGCTATTAGCTGGGATGAGCAGGGATGGTGTCCCTAGACTGTGTCTGTCAGAAGCTTGGAATAGGTGACAGAGGATGGATCACTTGATCATTACCTGTTCTGTTCATTCCCTCTGGGGCACCTGGCATTGGCCACTGTTGGAAGACAGGATACTGGGCTAGACAGACCTTTGGTCTGACCCAGTATGGCCTTTCTTATGTTGTGCCATTCCCCTGCTTTTTCAGGAGTTGCCCTGCCTTGCTTAGTAAACAATCCCGCGCAGTGCTAAGTGTGGCCTACTGATTGGGAGAGCAGCGTGTTTTATTAAAAATACAAGCTAATATTTAACAACATGTGGGAGGGGCACCGGGGTAGCATATAAATCACCATCATGTTAGGAGGAAACCTCGATTTTTGTGGAACAGGGGATTTGATGGTGGTGTTTTCATAGCCATCAGCAGCTGGCCTGTCGGATGACCCAGCTCCTGCAGCTGGATTTCAAGAGAAGAAAGCAGGCATAGTCCCCTAACTTGTCCGCTTGTTTCTCACATCTTGGCTGGCCTTCTCTGATACCTTTAATCCAACTCGGCCTGTGGGTGTTAGTCATTTTTTGTGTTACGGTATTACCTAGGGACCCCATTGTGCTAGGCATTATGTAAAAGCATAATAAGCGACAGTCTCTGCCCAAAGGAGTCTACAGTCTAAACAGACAAAAGTCCCCAACTTGACTGTAAAACTTTCCTTTCCCTCTGAGGTTTGGTGTATGAGGATTTCAAAATGTTGACTGTTCCTTGCACTATCCTGCCTCTGTCTGTAGAATCAAAACCCTGATCACTGCAGGAGAATTTGTAGGATACTCGGGTCCAACAAAGAAATAGTTGAAAAGAGTGAGAGTTAAGGTTTGTTGTGCAGAGAGTAAGAGATTAGAATTTACCGGGGGCCATAGGGATTCACAGCATTCCACACTGTACAGATTCAAACGTGGCTCCTGACCCAGGGAGTTTACAATCAAACACAGGCAGGATGAGGTCAGACTAGATGATCACACTGGTCCTTTCTGGCCCTTGCAATCTGTGAGAGGATGGGGCAAGAGAGCAGGGGTGAGAAGCAGGATCATGGGACAGAGGAGGCTGCTCTGGGGAGTAGTGGGCAGCGTAGAAGAATATGCACAGATGGGGATGGGGATTGCGATGGGGATGGGGATGGAGACCAGGCGGGCTGGGAGCCAAAATGTGGGGTTAGGGCAAGACTGTGTGCAGGTGAGGAGCTTGAATGTGATGCCTTCAGGGGCAGGGGAAGGAGTTTGAGGGGATACAGGGAGGTCTGGGCAGAGGCAGTCCAGGCACTAGGCGCAGGCAGAGTGCTCTAGAGCTTTGGAGCTAGGGCGGGGGCTGGAGAAGCAGGTGGGGTCGAATGGGAGGTTGTTTCATTGGAGGGGAAACAAGAATGTGCTTGCAAGCAGATGGCAAGGGGCCAGATGGGTGGAAGATAAGAGAATGGGAGGGGCTGGGAGAAGGAAGGCGGGAGGGGAGAGGATGGGGCACAGGGGATACATACGATGTGTCTTGTCAGGGAGACACCTGAGATTGTACTGAATTTCTTCAGCTCTCTTTGTAACAACATGCTCACCTGAAAACCCCAGCAGAGGGGTAACTGCCCTGCCCCCCCTCCATACTAACCCTGGGCCCTGGGGCCGGGCCTCAAAGCCTTGCTTGGCTCATGGCTGTGGAGAAATAGAGTAGCCTTATCCTCTTCTCTAATGTCAGAGCCATTTTGATGCGTGCAGTGCTGCGCTGGGTCCCTTTGCACAGGCCTGCAGAGTCCATTCGCGCTGAGCGGCGCCAAGCACTCGCCTCCAAGGAGCTCCCTGAGCTCCTGGACAAGGCAGGGGGAAGCCGCAAAAACGGCTCGAAGCTGCAGCCTGGGATCAATAGTGCAACAGCTCATGCAAAGCACAGGGATAGGGCGGAATACAGTCCCTGGCTGCGAAGTTACTGGAAGCGAGGAGCAAAGAGGGTAATGGAGTGTGGGGAGATTTTTTTCCCTTGAAAATGCCCACTACAAATAAATTGTACCATACACACCTGGGGTATGTGATTATGGGGATGGAATTTGGGCCAGGCACTAGCCTCATCCACTGTGTTTTCTCTGTGCAGACTACGGCCGCCCCACACCTCCATCCCAGAGCGGGTATCATCGCTACCAGTTCCGTCTGTACGAGCAGCCGGCTCACGAGGCCATATCTCTAAGTCCAGAGGAAGAGGCATCTTTGGGTAAGAGATGACCCACGTTCTCTGTGTGCTGCTGAGCTTGCAGTCTCTGTCTGTCTCTCTCTTAGCACAGCTAACATCTGAAGGGAATGATCATTTCATCAGCTCTCTGCACATTTGTTATTTCACCATCTCCCAGCTCAGCGCAGTCAGGTTTTCAAGCCGGGAAGCACCCGAGGACCCCAATAGAAAATACCCCCCGGTAGAGGCATAGCTATGTACTGCAGAACAGATAGGGACTCTTGGTACAATCTGCGTGGGTGCCATCAACAGGAAAGCACCAGTGCTGGCTGGGTGGGGGCGGCAGCAGTTGCCCAATAGGAAAACAAAAGGCGCTTGAGCAAGTTTGGGGGAAGGGCAAAAATTAGGGTCACTCCAAGTGGCAAAACCCCACCTTGCACTTACCCCATCGGCTTCAGCGGAGTCGCTCCTCATTTACACCAGTGAGAGGGGAATCCGCCCGCACGCACGCAAAGCAAAAGACATTAGACCTCATAGGGGCAGTAGAGAAGCAGAAGATTCTACGCTTGCCTGGATTCCTATATGTACCGGCACTAGACACATATTTTCTTGCTGTCCAGGTTTCTAACATGATTCCCCTGGTGAATGTGGATGGCTACAACGAGGCTTGGCAGAATGCGATTTTTTTAAATAATTTCGGGGGATAATATCGCTGTTCATTTTGAAGCTTTTTTTTACTTTTATCTATTTAAATTTTCACAATTGCCCAAAATTATGGAGGGAGGGCATCAGACAATAATTATTTAATGACAGAAGATGTTGAGATTCAAAAACAGAACACATTATCACAATTAAAATACAAATTGTCACCATCACATCAAAATATACAAAGTAAATGTCCTTAAATCAACCTATAATAAATTCTTAAGCAGGATTTTTCTTTCAACATTGATTTTCACCGAAGGAAATATTTTTGTCAGTTTGTGTGTGCGCAGTGAAATAGATGTTTACCAATATTTATCAATGAAAATCTAATCCTTCCAAGCCTAGATATGAGAGACCCCTTTTTATATCTGTGAAGTGTATTGTGTCCCTTCTTGACCCTATAAACATCTGATGATGAGGTAGTTTGCATGCTGTGGAGCTGGGCGAATAACGGATGTTTTAGTTTGAGGGCAATTACAAAAAGTCCCCAAAAAAATTAATTTGGGATCAGACCAAAAATGGACATTTTTGGTGAAATCAAAAAGTCAACAAAAATTGTTTTGAGTAAAACAAAATGAAACAACATTTTGATTTTGTCAAAACAAAACATTTTGTTTGACCTGTAATGTTTCGCTTAGATTTTGAGCATTTTTAAACATATTTGAATTTTTTAAATTAAAAGCTATGAAAATTTTTAAATGAAAAGTCATTTTGAACCAAAAAATGAGAATGTTTCTTTTAGAAAATGTCAGAATGAACTGGTTAGATTTTTTTCTGATTTTTCCCCTCAGGTTTCATTTCTAAACAAACAATTCAGTGAAACGTTTATGTCACCAGATCTGCATTTTTCACTGAAAAAAAATTGTGTGCAAACCATTTTGCCCAGCTCTAACTCACAGTCCCCTCCCATCTGGCAAAATTCACTCATGGTCAGGGCCGCCCAGAGGGCGGGGCAAGTGGGGCAATTTGCCCCAGGCCCCTGGCCCCGGAGGATATAGTATTCTATAATATTGCAACTTTTTTTTATGGAAGGGGCCCCCGAAATTGCTTTTCCCCCAGGCCCCCTGAATCCTCTGGGCGGCCCTGCTCATGGTATAAGTGAGTGCGACTCCAGTGATTTCAGTGAGCTGAATTAGATCCCCAGAGTAAGGGACAGAATTGATTGATCTACCTTCTCCCCTGGTGTAACATCATTAACTTCAAATGAGTTACAGCAGGGAAGAATTTGGCCTATGATGTCACATTTCCCCTGCTCACTGGAAACATGCTTCTCCAAACACCATGATTTTGGTTCTGATCACTGTGCAGAGATTGGGGGGGTGGGAGGGGCGGTTTTTTTTGTTTGAATATTGCCAGGTTCTGGACTAACCCCACAGACTCAATGTGTACAGACACGCTGAAGGTGCTTGGTCATGTATCCTATTGCTTGCTGCAATGTGTGTAGTTAAATAAGAGAACAGCAGTGTTAGATAATTCACCTGTGCTGGTGCACAGAAAAGGGCTGGCAAACTTTGTGGAGTCAGGAATCGTCTTTTTAAGAGAACAGGAGAGAAAAGTTCATGTAATATTTTATTACTGTTTTATTTACTTAGCCCCAACAACATACTACAAACACAGCCCTGTCCAAGCAGCTTGCGGTCTAGTTCTGGCACAGATGTACTAGACACAGATAACACACCATGCAATGATATATGAGGTGGAGAAATTTTCCCAAGGTCATTGCTGGGATAATCCTCATTCCTGGTACTTCTGTGGTGGGTTGCATCCAAGGATCTCAAAGCACTTTGCAAAAAGTCACACTTTAGTCTCAAACTCACAGGCAGAAGCAGATGGGGAAACTGATGCACAGAGAGGTGGAGCCCAGGGTCAGAGCAAGTCTGTGGGAGAGCCACTGAGAGAACCCGGGAGTCCTGACTCCCAGTGCCATGCCTTAATCACAGGATCATCTTCCCTTGCCTCCTCCTCTGTGGATGAAGCCTGTTTTGGGGATGAATTCATAGGGAGAGTGGGAGGTCACAAGAAGAGGGAGATGCAGAAAAACGCATGGGAATAGGAGCACAAAAAGGAGGAAGAGAGCAGTTAGGAGGGCCTGGAGTGAAGGGAGTGAGAGGGTCAGTGGAAATTAACGGGAGGATTGGTGTAAATGGAGTAGGAGGAGAGCATGGTTGCAGACTCAACTTTGTTCTTACCGAAGCTGCCAGGGTTAGAAACGTGAGGGTCAATGAGGGAAGAAAAGCAGAGCTGACACAGAGAAGGAGCAGAGTGGAGGCAGGGCCAACATGATGTGAAGAAATCCCACTGTGGAGCAGGCATTTCCTTAGAAACCCTCCATGGATGGAGCACATGCAGGATGAGGGGCTATAAAGCACTCTCATCCCCTTACCTCCACAGTGCCAGGGGGCCGGGCAGCGGGTCACGAGAACTATAAATACAACCAGGACCATTATTATTATTTATTTGTATTGCCTCAGTGCCGCAGAGCCCCCGTCCTGGACATTGTGCTAGGCACTGTGCAAACACAGGACAAAGCCAGTTCCTGCCCCAAAGAGCTTTACAATCTCAATACAAGACAAGAGACAACAAATGGAGACAGACAGCCAGATGGGGAGTACAAGGAAACAATGAGACGATATTGGTCAGCGTGAGGAGCAGAGGTCTCATCCAGCGGCCTAACCATTGTCACGTTTTTTGTAGAGGAGAGTTTTAAGGGGGGATTTGAAGGAGGTTGATGAGGTACCTTGGTGGATGTTTATGGAGAGAACAAAAGATAGCAGGGTGATGGACAGAAATCCACTGAACCAACAGTCAAAGGGGGGATACGGCATGCTCTGGAGGAGGAGGGCTCTCTGTGTGGGGCAGACAGCAGCCCTAATAATGTGTGCATCCTATGATACCGGTATGTTCCCCCATTCCCTCCACCCCACCCTGACCAGACTTGTTTGTCTCGTGCACCTGTTAGGGCTTCTCTTGTAGGCTATATGCTCTTTGGAGCAGGGCAGTGGAGTGGAGAAAGCCAATGTTGGAGCAGGGCTTTCCCCAAAGATTTGTGTTTATGGTATGTTTGTACAGCACCTCACACAATGGGGCCTGACCTGATGTTTCTGCAGTGAGACAGATCCCAGCAAGATCCTAGTTCTACCTCGGGAGGCCCAGCGTCATGCAGGTGCCTTCAAAGGGGTCCCTAAAAGGAGCAGGGTTGGTGTACCTTTTGGGATGAGGCTCAAGGAGCCGCTGTTGAGAGCTGTAAAAAACCACCCAGCCGGTCAGCTCTAAACCACTTGGGTAGCGGAATCCAAGATGGGGAGAGGTCTCAAGGGCTGTGAAATGCTGACAAATCCTTGCTGGCACATCCCCAAGCTCAAGCAGTTTCGTCAGCGACACCTCCAGGCTATTATCCATATCAGGTGGCGAGATAAACATCAGGAATAATGAGATTTGGCAATGGAGTTGCACAAACAGCCCCGAAACATTGCTCATAAACTCCCTGTCCCACCAGGCCGGGCACGTCCTCCACATGGAGGGATGACCAGGGTCCCAAAGCAAACTGCTGCATCACGAACTTTTCACAGGCAGGAGATTAAGAGACAGGCAGAGGGAAAGCTGCAGGGACGCCCTGCAAGGTGGCCTCACCCCTGGTGACATACGGGAAGCGCCGGCAACAAACAAAATCCACGTGCAGAGCCAGAGCCACGTCTGGCTCAGAAAGTTCTGCAAAACAAGCGCCTTGCGAACAATGAGAGAATAGGGGTCAGGTGCATCTAGCAAATGATACTGTGCTTCCCTGCCCTACCCATGCAATTAGTTTTGTTATTATTTATTATTTGTATTAGGCACCTAGGTGTCCCAGCCATGGACCAGGATGCACTAGGTGTTGTACAAACACAGAACAAAAAGATGGGTGCTGCCCCCAAAGAGTTTACATTGAGCATTGGCCTGCTAAACCCAGGGTTGTGAGTTCAATCCTTGAGGGGGCCACTTAGGGGTCTGGGGCAAAAATCTGTCAGGGACAGTACTTGGTCCTGCTGTGAAGGCAGGGGACTGGACTCGATGACCTTTCAAAGTCCCTTCCACTTCTATGAGATAGGTATATCTCCATATAATAATAATAATGTACATGGAATGAGCCTCTTCAGCCTCCTTGGGCCTTGGCTACAGGGGGGAAGTTTACAAATCCTCCCCACCAAATGATGGGGAGAGGGGCATAAAAGCACCTAGATCAATCAGATTAGTAATTCTCAACCCTTGTAATACTGTAATTCCCTAGTTTCAACACGGCCTATGAGCTCACAGAAGTTCTTGTTAACACGAAGAAGTGCATGAATGCACCTAGCATTCAG